AGCAGGCCTTAATTAGGATAAAATTAACCTGTCTAAATTTTACTCAGCAGCTAAAATTTTCAGTGATAAGAGCATTAACCAAACAGCTTTCATTCTACAAGGTATTTGGATCACCTGTTTTTCTACTATCTTTAATTTCCTCTATAGATGGGAGCTAACAAAGAGTTGATAACTAAAACAGAAAGGAAAACATTGCTTTTAATTAAATTCACTTTACTTCAATCATGTACCAAAATATATTCCAGGCAACTCTTCAGACCATTGCTTCACAGTATCATAAACTCTATGCCATTACTGTCATTCCAAAAGCTGCCAGAATACTGGGAGTCAAGTGATCCAGCCCCTGGCTCAGCCCAGGAGTCCAGGTAGAATCCAAATGACAAGTGATAGATGCGCTCCTCTGACCCTTCCTGTGTCCTGGTAGAAAGATATGATCTTAAGGGTTAGATTATGTGTCAAATATTAATCAGTGAAAAAGATTAGAATGACAGGTTCTGTGTTTTTGTTTCTGTGGCTCTTAGAATTTCTGTCTACCTCACCTGCAGTTGCAGGGCAGTGCTGTGACCTTAAATTCTCAGCAGCCTTCAAGACTCCACTTATACTTAATACTAAATCAAGTGCCAGACTAAGTCTTGATTTTCCATTAATTTCCTTAAGGGGAAGAACAGTGGAAGCCCCAGCTACAAGTGCTTCCCCAAATTGAGATTACTTAACAAATTAGAATAAATTAGCAGAGAGCTAATACACAAGATGCTGAAGAATGGTAGTGGGTAGTCAGGGCAACTCTAAGCTCTTCTTTCTTGGTTTCCTGATCAAGGTTGGGTCTAAGCAGTATCCTTCAAGTCTTGGGGGCCACTGAAATGTGGTTATTCTCCTAAAACTACTTGTAATTCTTCCAGGTCCTTCTGGAAAGATGAATCCTAGGAAGAAAGAGAAAAATCTAGTACTGAAAAGCTAACTTTTTCCAAACCACTAATCCTCTTTACTTACCTCTTTGAGGTCTGCTATCTGTAGTTTTTCCCAGATAGCCTGGGGAAGTTAAGAACTCCTCTGAACTCTATCTCCCCTACCCCGCAAGGTACATAAGATCCTGTGGTGAATAGGGGGTAAGCTTTCCTTTTTCCAGAAAAATAAGACCTCAGAGGAAAATGTGCTTGCTTAATTTTTTTTTTTTTTTTGGCTCCGAATGCCTTCATTCAGGGCACGTTTGGCTGGCTTGAGTTGTGGGGATCAAACCACAGCAACCTGAGCCTGACTGCTTTGTTGAAGCAGCCACTTAAAGAACTGAGCTAAGAGGCAGGCCCCCTATGCTTGCTTAATTTAAAGGGTCACATGATGACTTATGGTACAGTCCAATATTTTAAGCAAGATTACCTCTTTGGTGACATCTGGCAACTCCAGGGCCAATTTCATCCACCTTCTAGCTTCAGAGTTTTTTCCTAGTTCTCTATAGCACTGAAAAGAGAGAGCAATGAAAACCCATCAGAAATAGCACAAGGGGACTAAAAGGGACAAATGTGTGTGCTTTTAAGAGTTCCCAGGAGGCAGGCAAGGGATGGGTGCAGCACTTAACCTAGCCCACCACCATCAACAAGAACAAAAGAATAGTTCCCAGAAATAGAGGGTGTCCATTAGGTGCCAGCCTGCCTGCCCAACATGTACAAGGTATTGGGCTCAATTATCAGCATGCATACATGTACACCCAAAATTCCCATAAACAGGGTTGGCATCTTTTGAAATTGGTGGTTTACCTTGGAAACGTATATCCTTCCTGCTTTGGAAAACCCTGGCTGTAGTTCTTCAGCCTGGAGAAGAGAAGAAGGCATTTCTTTATGAGGCTCCCAAATTCTGGTCAGGCTGACATACATGAGTAATTTCTAGTCCCCAAACAGGAGATAAATTCAATGGGTCCAGAAATCTTTATTTGTATAATATAAATTCTCCCAGTGGTTGATTTTCCTCACAGAACATAAAATTGCCTTATATCAGAATCCCCTCCCATGAGGTGTTCCAGTAATAAACAAGGTTACCTGAGCATTTCTGCTTCCCTTCCCTTCCCTCATACCTTTAGGAAGCTCTCCAGAGCTTCCTGCACAGTAGCACTAGGGGGGCTTCCGAACAAAGCTGTAGCTGTTTTTTTTTCTAGCCAGCCCAGGTGAGAGACCTGTCACCAAAAGATGGGATGTGAAAAGGTTTTAGGAAATAGCTTGCCGAATATTGAGTACTCTACAGTGCAAACAGGGTTAGCCACTACTAATAAGACACATTCAGAGGAAATGAGACTTGAGTGAGACCAGGCTGACGAAACTAAGGACCCTGATCGATGTTACAGGACACATAGGACCTTTCTATCAGGCTCTGGAACACAGCTCACCTGGTAGCACCACCTGCCAAGAAGAAAGTGAGCCATAGGGTTTTCTGGCTGGAGAGCAATGGCTTTGTCCACATGTTCCTGAGAGGAAAAAAAGCATAAACCAAATCAGACTAGAGCTGCTCAGAGAAAAGCAGCAAGGTGCAAAGGAGGTGGGGATGCCCTTCTAAGGGAACTGGCACACGCTTGTAATCCAGCATTCGACGCTGAGGTGGGAGGATCTGTGAGTTTGAGGCCAACCTAGGCTACACAGTGAGACCCTGTCTCAAAAACAAAAAAACAGGATTGAGCTAAGGAAACCAGGAAGAGCAGGAGATCTAGACTAACCAAGCGCAAGAAAAGGAGAAGCTGGTTCTCACCTTGAAGCTAAAGCCACTCTGGATGCGCTTCTGGATGCCCTCACACTCAGCCACTTGACCACAAAGCACTGCACACCTAAAGGGGAAGCAGCAGCAAGCTCAGGGACTAGGAGTGGGTGCTGTGACTGGGAGCGGACGCCCCACCCATGATCAGCTGCAGTGTGCACCTCCCACCCTCAACCAGTGCTCAAAATACATTTTCACCTCACAGATTTGCAGTCTCAGCAAACACAATGTAGGCTTGAAATTCTCTGACGTATTCGAAGTATACAAAACCTGCTCTCCCATATACAGTAGTACTCCATTACATTTAAGAATATTTAGTTAAGGTTTTAGTCAATCTCCAAATTTCCCTTTTTTTTTTGCGGAACCGGGGATTGAACTCAGGCCCTTGCACTTGCCAGAGAAGTGCTTATTCCGCTGAGTCATCTCCCCAGCCCCTCAAATTTCCCTTTCTTGATAGAGTATAGCCACATGTGTCATAGCAACTTGGAGACCTGGGCTGGAGGGAAGCTCAGTGGAGGAGCGTCTGGCATGAGTGAGGCTTGGGTTCAGCACCCCCAGCTGGGGGGGGGGGGTTAAAAGGGCGTACTCTTAACAATTGGCATCAAACTGAAGGTGCCCTGAGCACACTGTCTTTAAGAGCAGGTAGTAAAAGAGCATCTTCTTACCCTTGATAGTATCCAAGTTTATCACTGAGACTTGGGAACCAACAGAAGAAGAGGAAGGAACTATTTTAGCTCTTTCCTCCACATCTCCAGGGGAACCAGTAAGCCAGCTTTTGTATTATCTTCCCTAAAGTCTTACAGGGCTAGGGATATAGCTCAGTGGAAGAGCTTGTGTTCAAGTTTTTGGTGTTTTTTGTTTGTTTGTTTTAATCAAACTCAGGACCTTGCCCTTGCCAGGCAGGTGCTTATGCCACTGAGCTATCTCCCTGGCCCCAATCGTTCAAGTTTGAGACCTTGGGTTAAAGTACCAGCAACTATTTAAAAAAAAAATAAATAAAAATTAAAAAAAATAAACACTAAAAGCCTTGTTTGATCCCTTCAGTGTTGTTCCTAGAAAAGGCTGACATTAAGTGTCTAACCAAGCAAAACCTATGTTGCTTTTTCATGTATTTGCTAAGTATATGGGGTGTCTTATCAGGCCCTTCCAGAGGCTCATGCTTAATCCAGACAGGTCCTCCTCAAGGAGACCTAAAAGTATGGACCAGATTTCATCCTAGGGATCCCAGGGAAGCAGTGACATCCTAGAAAGTTACCTGGCCTCTGAGAAGATACCTTACAGCAACAGATGCAGAAACACAGCCTCTCACTTAGCTCAGTCTGAGGGCAGAACAAGAGGAAAGGAACATTTTCACTAAAGCTGATGTTGAAATTAAGCCCCAGGACATGGATAAGCCCTGATCTGTGCAACTTGGCAGCACTTGACATCACAATACCCGGGTTTTAGGTTTTTTGTAGTGCTGGGGGTGGAAACCAGGGCCTCACAAGGCAAGAGCTCTACCACTGAGCTACATCTCCAGTTCAGTAAGCTAATACATTAACAAGTGAACATGATAATGAGCTTACATCCAGTTTTTTACATGTAAACCAAGCAAAGAAGCCAAGGTTGACCACCAGCCAGGGATAGCAGCTTGGGGAAGAAAAGCTTGTGCAGGGCCAGGGAGCTATGAGTTGTCCCAGTATCAAGGAGCCAAGAAGGAACCCACAAGTTTTATGGCAAAGGTGACTTTTTTTTTTTTTTCTTTTTGGCAACAGTGTTTCACTATGTAGCCCAGGCTGGCACCAAACTCCCAAATGCTGGGATGGTAGGCAGGCACTACCATGCCTGGCAAGTGAGGGTGATTCTGACAAAGATACTCATTTCTTCCAGCAGAAGTTTGTACTCGACCTCTGTCTCACCCCCACCCCAAAACATCTCCACCAAAGTCTTGTGTTCTTGACAAGAGAAGGGTAAGGAATACAAACTAAAGTTCCCTCTCCTGGCTTCTCTGACAAATGCCTCTGACCAAGGCAAAGAAAACAAGGCCTCAGCTTGGGCATTCCTGGCTTCTCCCAGAGTCCTGCATAGTGTTCTTACCACTGGTGACATTCGGCACTTTCATCCCCCTTCTCCAGAGCAGCCTCTGCTGCTTCTTTTCCTGAAAGACGAAGGTAAATGTAGAATTAACATGCAGTCCCATGCACACTTCCACAGAAAGGGCCCCAGAATGGTTACTTTAGTTCTCAGCATTCCCTACCCAACCTGGACTAGTTTAGAAATAGTTTGTGAATTTGCACTGAATGAAAAGGGGCATACTTCTCAGGATTGCTCCTGCCTCTTACGCCACCACCTGTCTTCCCTATACTGTCCCCAGAAGGGACTCAAATATGAACTGGTATTACAAATGTTAGAAGCACCCAACAGTAATCAAGCTGAATCACTCCAAAGTGGAATAAAATTTTAGCCAGATGTAGCTGTAGCAGTTAATTGGGTAGAGCAATTCAAGCTTTGATAGAATTCTCAGAAAGAACCATGAATGTTTATTGCAGCTCTCAGCCAAAACCCCCCAATCATAATCCCCCATGCCCACTTCCCATGGCCATGTTGGGAATCAAACCCAGAGCCTTGAATATGCTAGGCAACCATGCTACAACTAAACTGCACCCCCAGCTCACACCAGAACTCTGCCAAGAGCAGGATGGAGTAAGGTCCAGAGGTGGCTTTGCCTCAAGTTTTCTAAGCACTAAAACTTACAAGGAAACTTGAACACTCTTGACAGGATCTTAGAGGAGTGGTGGCCAAACTGGCATTCCTGTGAGCACTGTTTGTCTTTTAAGACAAAAGATGCTAATGTACATGTTTTTGTAAACTATCTAATTCCAATGTTGGCACTTTGCGATACATAAGTGGGTTTTGGGTTGCAGTTTGGGCATTTGGTCTCTAAAAGATTCACTACCACTGTGCTGGATCAAGGCAGCTACAGCCTCTACAACTTGACTTTTTTTGTATTTAGTACAGGGTTTCACTACACAGATAGGACTTGTAGTGATCCTCCTGTTTTCAGCCTCCCAAGCACTGGCATTACAAGCGTGTGCCACCATGCCCAGTCTTAATTGCTGTCTCAGCGTGGCCTGGGAGAGGTGGGGCCAGCATGGGACACCAGGGATTGAACCCCAGTCCCTGCGTCTGCCTAAGCAGGACTGTCTGGCCAACTTAACTCCAGACTTTTCATCGTGTCTGTGCACAGAATGTGATGATTAAGATGGGGCTTAGAACTGTGGAGAGGGCTGGCCAAATAGCTCAGCAGAAGCAAGGGCTGGGGGTTTGATTCCCAGGCCTGCCATGCCAGCCCTGCCCCTGGCACAGAGACAGCCATTTTTTTCTTTTTCTTTTTTTTGTTTTTCCGGAACTGGGGATTGAACTCAGCCCCTTGCACTTGCCAGGGAAGCACTTATTCTACTGAGCCGTCTCCCCAGCCCTGAAACAGCAATTAAGACAGGGCATGGTGGTGTGCCCCTGTAATCCCAGCTCTTGGGAGGCTTTAAACAGGTGGATCACTATGAATCCAATCTACTAGTGAGACCTTGAACACCCTATAGACCCTTCCCTAAAATACAAAAAAGAAAAAAAAAAAAAAAGAAAAGGAATGTGGAGGAAATACATTGAGGTTATATATAGGCTACATAATAAGGGATGCTGCCTTTCATTTATTTTCATTTTATATTTTGGCAGAACCGGGGATTGAACTCAGACCCTTGTGTTTGCCAGGCAAGCATTTATTCTACCGAGCCATCTCCCTGGCCCACTGCCTTTTTTTTTTTTTTTTTCCCCACTGCCTTTTAAATGTAATTCTCTTTGTCCACCTCACACTTTGTGGTAGAGGTGGTGGTATACTGGGGACTGACTGAATCCAGGCCTTCTCACTGAACCACATCCTGTGCCCTTTTAGAATATTGTCTTTAAACTTAAGACAGGGTCTCACCAACTCACTAAAGTCCAAGTTGGACTCAGACTGCAGTCCTCCTGCCTCAGCCTACCAGTGTGTTAGAATTAAAGGATGTGCCACCATGCCCAGCTTTGTTTTCGGTTTTTGAGATAGGGTTTAGCTTTGTGGCTCAGGGTGAGCATGAGTTCTTGTTCCCCTTGCCTTAGCCTCCCAAGTACAGTGGTAGTACTTCAGTTCATGAATTTGGTTTGTTCTATAGTTCTGGAAAAGATAGTCATGTTTTTGTGTTAGAAAGATGGCGTCACTCGATGCAGTTTGCAAACAACAAGATTTAGCCAAATGCTTCTGTTTGTGAACGAAACTGACTGCAAACCAAAGTGTTCTAGAACCAAGATACCATCAAACAGGGATCACAGGTATAAGTTATCACACCAGATATAAGTAGTTTCTCCATAGTAGCAAAAATTAGATGACCAGTTCCTGCCAGGGTAGACAGACTAGTGTGGATCAGAAATTACCTGAGATCCATAGAATGCTTGCCTCCTGGTAGTCCAGCTTCTACAGACAGAATGAAATAGACCTATAACTTGTAAAGATTTTGTTTTTGCTGTCCTGGGGGTTAACCTAGGAAGTAATAAACTATATTTAGAGCCCCCACCCCCTTTTTAAAAACAATCCTTAGTTTGACCTTTTTAATTTGAGACAAGATCTCACTAATTAGGGCCAGGGATGTAGGTAGCTCAGTGGCACAAGCACCTGGCTGGCAAACACAAGGTCCTGAGTTGGATTTGTGGTAGGGGGAAAAAAATCACTAAGTTGTCTAGGCTGGCCTCAAACTTACAGTCCTCTTTCCTTGGCTTCACAGATAGCTCATATGACAGGTGTGCACCTTCATGCCCAGCAAGGACAATTCTTAAGCGCTGTCCTCTCAGATAAGACCTTCAAAGACCTTCCACAGTCATCTGACCTCCCACAGACTTGTCCAAAAGTGCTAAGCACAAAAGCCTGAGCAAACAAATGGGCTAGCTGTAGACTCTGCCTATTAGCACTAAGAAGCAAGCCTGATGCAGGAAGATATCACAAGTGCAAGTCAGCCTGAGCAACCTACTGGGACCTTGACTCAAAATAAGAAGGGGCTAGGGATGTAGCTCAGTGGTAGGAAGAGTGCCTGCCAAGCATACGTGAGCCCCTCTGTTCCATCTACAGCAGCACAAAAAAATAAAATTTGTCCTTGTGGCTGAATAACACCCTGATAGTTGTCAAGAACAAGCACCTGAGTCTGGGCGTGGTGGCACACAGCTGCAAACCCAACAACTGGGAGGCTGAGGCAGGAGGATCTCAGTGAGTTCAAGGCCAGCCTAGGTGACAAAGTGAGTTGGAGGCCAGCCTGAACTATATAGTGAGACCCTGTCTCAAAAGAGACTGGGGAGAGGGGAGCACCTGATAGGCAGGTGTAGTAGCATACACCTGAAATCCCAGCACTTGGGAGTACAGCCGTGTGTTCAAGGATAGCCTGCACTATCTACTGAGACCCTCTCTCAAAACTTAAAGGGCCGGGGAGATGGCTCAGTGGAATAAGTGTTTCCCTGGCAAGCACAAGGGCATGAGTTCAAACCCTGGTTCTGCCAAAAAATAAAAAATAAAAATATATATAATCAAAACCAAACAAAAAAATCAGCCATGGTGGCACATGCCTGTGATCCCAGTATTTGGGAGGTTGAGGCAGAAGGACTGCAAATTAAAGTACTGCCTGGGAAACTTCACAAGACGCTGTCTCAAAAAAATAAAAAGTGCTGACGATATAGCCAGTGCAAAGGCCTTCAATTCAATTTTATTTATTTATTTATTTATTTTATTTTTTATTTTTTTAAGGATTTAAGGATGTTATTTATAGTGACATACATACATAGTAACATAACAAACATACATTTTAAAGGACATTTATTTTACTAGGCCTGGTGGCAAACGCCTGTAATTCCAGCACTGAAGAAGGCTGAGGCAGATCACAAGTTTGAGTCCCATAAGGGCAATTTAGCAAGACCCAGTCCCAAAATAAAAAATATAAAAACGCAGAGAATGTGGTTCAGTGGTAGGGTGCCCTGGTTTTAATCTCCATTAAAAGAAAAAGAAAATATATATATATTAAGTTGAAGTTAACTGATATATTAAATATAGTATACACTCAATGTAATATGCGATATGACAAATCATATTATATATGAAGGGCTGAATTTTCTTTCTCTGTGAATTTAGGAAGGGATTAGGATCTGGGAATATGGCTCAGCACAGCAGTACCTGTTTAGGACATACAAGACCCTAAACTCAATCCCAGCACTAAGGGAAACAAAAAGGCAGGTGTTGCAGTACACTTTTATAATCCCAGCACTTGGGAGGTTGAAGCAGGGAGATAACTTCGAGGCAGCTGGGCTACATAATGAGCTCAAAGGTGGCCTAAACTAGTGAGACCCAATCTTGAAAAGAAACAAGCAAGCAGACAGATTCATCACCATTCATAAAAAGATATTGAAAATGTTTTATGGTTATAAAAGTGTACATAGGGCCAGGGAGATGGCTCAGTAGAATAAGCACTTCCCTGGCAAGCATAAGGGCCTGAGTTCAATCCCCGGTTCTGCAAAAAAAAAAAAAAGTGTACATACACTGAAAAAAACTTCAATTTGTACAGTAAGTACAAAAACTCACATTCTTATTATTTAAGATCCACAGATATTCTCCTACAGAGAACCATCACACTTGCACAAAGGACATGTTTAACATTATGAACATTGGGAAGCATATGTACATATAGATTTTTAATGATATTTATATATGATATATGATATATAAAAATATGCAAGATATAGCCAGGGATGGTGGTAATACCAGTAATCCAGTACTCTGAAAGGCTGAGGCTGAAGAATCCCAAGTTTGAGCCCAAACTTTAGTGAGATCTACTTCAAAATAGAGTATTTTTAGCTGGGCATGGGGAGGCATGCCTGTAATCCCAACACTTGGGAGGCTGGATTAGTGGATCACTGCAAATTCAAGGCCAGCCTGAACTACATAGAGACACCCTGTCTCAAAAAAACCAAAACAAAACAAATTTAAAAATGCTGAGGGCCAGACCTGGTGCCATACACCTATAATCCCAGCACTTGGGAGGCTAGGGCCAAAGGACTACCATGAGTTAGAGGCCAGCCTGGGTTACATAGTGAGTTTAAGTTTAGTCTGAACTATATGGCAAGACTCTTATCTCACAGTAAAACAAACAACAAAGAAAAACACATAAAAAAGGCTGAGAATGTGAAGGTCCTGGGTTCAATCCCCAGCAATAGTAAATCAGTCAATCAATCTCAGAATAAAAGACAAACTTCCAGGGAACAGTAAGCAGCAACCTTAATTAGCCATTTTGGAATTACCTATCATTGCTAAAATTTAAAAATAAGGTATAGAATATTCTGAGCATTCATATGCTATTCATTATTATCACCAATTTACATATGTTAAAAGACAATTAGGAAATCTCTTTACTACCTCCTTGGATAGAAAATCAGATTGCAAAATTGTTTTGATTCTTCAATCTACACGCTGCATGTCTGTGTGCTCTTTCACTCCTTCTCACTGGTTCACTACAACAGGGTTATAAATTGTGTCACAGACTCCAGGGACCAGGGGCAAGAAAGGCTTTGTAACTGTCTATGACCCAGAATGGTGAGAAACTTGGTTTAAGTAAATTTATTGATTTTGTTTTTTAAAAAAATAGTATTATTACCCTGGGATCCCTTCAATATTCTTTTCTAGTTTTTTTTTTTTTTTTTTAGGAGTGGGTCCACCTCATTTTTGGCTTCCATTTGATAACTGCATATCTCAATTCCTTGTTCTCACTTTAATAGTCTTCTAATTAAAAACAAG